AATCTAAAAGCAGATTAATAGAATTTTTTGTGTGAAACATCCTTAAAGTATTAAAATGACTTTTATTAATGTAATTATTTTTCCTACAATGACCTTTAACAGAATAACAGTTCCCCAATCTTGGTTTAGTCCTTGATAAGTGGATTGATTGTACTGATAAATAAGCTCCAGAAACTAAATTTTAAAATGTTATTATTGATAATGGACAACTATTAGTTTTGACCACCTAGCATCTCAATTTCCTTTGTGAATCATCTGACTTTGAAGATAACAATCACAGAAAACCTCACTGTAACACATCACACACACACACACACAGTTGCAGGGGGGATCCTGGGGGCCCTTGGCTGGCAAATCACTTAACTTTGATAACTGCTTCAAGGTAAGTATGTAAGCCATTCTAGGACTATTAAATTTCTTCCCTCCTGAATAATGAAAATGAATTTGTCATAGAAGAGAAACAGGCCAAAGAGAGAGAAACAGAGATCACCCCCCTTGACTCTCCATACAGAAATACAGATTTACAACCCATCAAGATGAAACTGCATCTATTGACTTTGCGGAGTCCATAGATAGAACTAAACCCAGTTCAATTTCTACATATGCGCAAAACTTTATACCTCGTTTAACCCTGCCATTTTACACATGATGAAACTAAATCCCAGAGGATAGTATCTCCACAAGCTATTTCACAAAAAGCAAAGCTAGAATTACATTCCAGGTTGTCTGATTGCCATTGAAATGTTCCTTGATATTCCTAAAATCTAGATAAAAGAGAGCTATCGCTTTTGTTTATTTTAGTCGAAAATCACATGTTGAGTAATTTCAGACATAAATGAAGATCTCTTGAAAAAAATATTACTATCAACTATCTTGATACGCATACTAAAATTATCCTACATTATAACAGAAAATTTTTTAATGAATTTAAATTAATCTCCTTTGCTGGCCATTTTATCATCACTATCCAGATAACTGCTATGTCCCTCAGAATAAGAGTTCACTATCAAACACCTTACCTATGAAAGATGCCATCAGAGTTTAATGACTGAACATAACTAGCAAATCTGGAGAACCGTCTTATAATTCAATTACAGTTCCAGCACTAGGCCATTATTTCTCAAAGTGTGTTTCATGGAACACTAGAGAACTACAAGATGTTCAGTGAATAAAAGATACTAAAGTCAAATAAGTTTGGGAAAATTCACATAAAATAAATAAATATATAAACCAATAGAAATAATAAATACACGTATGTATATGTATATATGTATTTATATTTATTTTATAAATATATATATGTATGTCCCTCATACATATATATAACATACATATATATATATGTATGTTATTCTGAGGGACATACATACATATATATATATCCTCCCTCTTAGAGATTCATCGTATACATTAAAGGTTAAGAAGTCTTGTAGTAAAGGAAATGTTCAACTTTAATTCAGCATTTCTAAAACCTCTTTGACCATAACATACTTTTTCAAGAAACAAATCACTGAAAAATTAGTATTTGTGAAGTATATTTTGGGGAATACTACTCTAATCTAAAACTCTTTTGGTTCCAACTTACCAACCAAGTAAATAACATATTCATATTTATATTTACTATAATCACATTATAGCATATCACAATTTCTAGGTACTTTTCATCTCTATGTACAGATGAGAATGTTGACGTTCAGAAATGTTATACTGATTTCCCAAAGTCACAGAGCTAAAATTATGGGACTAGTACTTGATCGTAAGTCTACTCGCTTCAAAATCCCATGTTAGGCTGATGTAATATTGTCTTCTGAGCAGATTCTTCAGGACATGTTAAACTACTCTTAACACTAAATATCATAATAAAGTAGTGGTAGGAGTCTTAGAAAATGATCAGTTCCTGGCTATCAAGGAGAATAAGATACTTAGCCATTAAATGGGTTTAAACATGAAAAAACCCAAACTGGACAAAATTTTAGAAGTCTAGTACATTTAAAGCAATTTACCATAACTGTTTGCCAGAAAGTAAGAGCAAGAGAACAGACAATAGTAATGAGGAAAGAAATCTAAATTTCGATCCATCAAAGCAGACATTTAGTATACTAAAAATTATATGTAACAAATATGGTATATATAGAATATATGATAACCTGTTATGGTATGAAAAACATATTTTGCACTTTAACATATAAAAATGCAACTTAGTTTTGCCACTGAACTCAGCTATCAAGATAAATTTAACATTCACTAGCACTAAGCAATAAACAACTATTATTTAAAGTAATTCATATTTTATAAAGAATACGTCTGCTCATTCAACAATATACAACACTATACAACAAACGCCATCTTTCTTTTTAACACCTGCCACAGAAAAGTTTTACTTATATTTTGTTTGGATTTTAATTTTGAAAAAAAAACCCAAAAAACATTAAACCGAATATTCTTTGTCTTATTAGTTTAAAAATAATTTTAGCTAGAAGGCTGTCTTTTGCTAAGATACTACAAACTCTGTAGAAACTTATTTATGCCACTTCTAAAAGTCTGCTTTCAAGGATATAAGTTTTTAGTACAAAAAATATGATCGAGATTAAAAAGAAAATCGCAATTTGGCAACCATCACAGAAATAATTCAGCCAAGAAACATCATCAGATGCTAATCTCAGAGGGTAAAGTTAGATGAACAGTATGTTTATAGTCTCAAAATACTCGTTCAAATTAGAATACTTACTGATTACAAATACCCATGAAAAATAATTATCAGTTTCAAAGGGATAAAGAATAATGTTATAATGAAAAGACCTATCAGACAGAAGCTTAATCAAGGGATCGCACCAATATGGGACAAATCAAACACAAGTTCAACTTGAGAGGATGCAAAAAGGACACATCAATCCTTTTGA